TAAAGCTTCTAATTAGATATTTAGTAAAAGATTAATTTTAGTAAATATTATAATATAAATTGTAGATATTAATGTAATTAAAGTATAAAGCAGAAAAAGAATATGTTATTTAGCAAATAAATTAGCTAAGTTATTATAAAAATTATCTGAATAAACTTAAACTTTATAAAAGATAATCTGTAAATTATATAATTTTATAATGTTTAGTAAAATATATCATATAGGCTATGCATTAAATTTAAAAAATTTGTTAAAATTTGAAAGTATAATATAAATATTAAAGTACTTTATAATAATAGATTAAAAATTTATAAAGATATTAATTACTAAATTTTAAGAAATAATAGAAATAGCTAAAAGAATAAACATTAATTTAGCTTTGTAAAAAGATGATCAGAAATATATTTTAGTAGAAAATTTATGAATAATTTAGTTGTTATGATTAATCTAAATCTAGTCAATACTCTAGTATACTGGTTAGTTCCAAATTAATTACTAAGCTATTAGTATAAAAGTTAAATAGTTGTTAAGAGATATTAGTAATAAAGTATTATTTTAGTATATTTATTATTTTTTTTAAATCAAAAATCTTATATATAAAGAAATTAAAAATAGAAATTATTAGAGCAAAGAAGATAAACAATAGATATTTGATTATTATTAAGTATATAAGATCCAAGTAGTTAATATTAAAATTAATAGAGTTTAAGTTTATTCTTTCTAAAAATTTAGTAAGTATTATACAAAGAACTATATATAAAATTTTGTTGTTTTTTTATTTTTTTCAAGAAAAATTTTATAAAATTAACTAATTTATTTTATTTTTTTAAAATTTATATATAAAATTACCAAAATTAAATTGTTAATAATATAGATTAAAAACAATAAAACAATATAAACATAACTTATATACATATATTAAACTACTTAAAACTTATTAAATACTGCTTTTGGTTTAATTAGTATCTTTTGCTAACTTTTTATATTCAAGTTTATATAGTTTTTATTATATAAACTAGTAAATAACATTAGTAATAAAAACTTTTACATTTAGTATATCTAATAGTTTTTTATAATAAAACCAGGATTGCCATGAACTAGTCAATAGTCAAGCTTAACCAGACCAGTTTAACCAATTTGACCAGTTAGTTAAAGGGTTTAGTATTGGTCAAATTGATCAAATTGGTCAAATAATATATAAAGTATATAAATATATTTGTTTATTTATTTGTATATTAAAATTATTTATTTAATAGACTAAAACTATTTGACTAATTTGACCAGACCAGTTTGATCAACAAATTTTTGGTCGATCAGTAATTTGACCAACCCTAAATAAAACATATAAAAAATTGAAATATATAAAAAGTCAATATTTTTATTATTTAACTTTTTTTAATATAATTAGTAAAATCAATATTTGTATTCTATAATAATAAGTTTTATTGAGTCAAACAAATTGAAATTGATTTTTTTCTTAAATATGAAAATTACAGTTCAAAAATTTTATATATAAAATATATATAATTTGTAAATTTGATTTTAAAATTAATTATAAAATTAAAAATCATTATTTAAAAAACTTAACTTTAACAATTCATAATTGTTTTATTATATTTTAAAAACAATGTAAAATAAAAATTATTTTTATAAAAAATTTAAGTTTTTATATGTATAAAATAAAATTTACAATTCAATTTTACAAAATTTACATAGTAAAAACATAATAAAAATCTAAAGTTTTAAATTGTTAAAAATCTGAGGTTTTAATAATAAATATTTTTTAATTTATATGATTAGAAACGTTGATATTTATATTTTATTATGTATAATTTTCACCGGGGCAAAAAAAATCGATTTTTTTTCTAATAACAAAACTTCTTAAAAAGGAATTTGTATATATTTTATTAGAAAATTGATCATTACTAGGGCGTTACTTTTGTTGGCTCGTACTGTACGTATATACAATACGTGTGAATTTTTGCGATGCAATTTACTGCCCAAATGGAAGGAAGTGATCTATAAAACTCTTCAGGACTGTGTTACAGTACAGTTATCGCTATATGCAAGAAACTTTATATACAAAAAAGGAAACTATTTACTACTTTTGCCTCTTCATGATAAGTACATCTATTTTAATAAATACGTAGTATAGAGATGCACATTGAGTAAATGCGAAACAAAGCATCGCCCTAGTATCTTATTGTTTTAAATTTATTGTTTTTTAATTAACATTTTATACCTCATTTCTTTTACTCAAATATTCTGATAATTGTCTTAAAATCAAGTTTTTTATAGTTACTAAAAATGAGGTTCATTTCTTTTGTGATTTTTTTTTTTGATTTCCCAGGCCGCCTGCGATAATATTTTAAACAGACGTACTTTTATCGCTGATGATGGCATGTGTGATTTAAAATGTGTGAATTTTCATGTTCTCAAGATTATTGTAGTATTCACCATGTTACCAACAATGTTAGCTTTACATGCTCCGCATGTTTTGATTTAAATTCCTGTCGCTCTTCTAGTTGCAGTTATAATTGTGAACCACCTATTAGTGGTTCTTGCCCTCCATGTACCTCAAATGGGACTAATATTACTTGCACAAACTGTAATTATGGTTCTTCCACTCCTAGTTCCACCAGCAACCCCACTAGCAGCTCAATTAGCAGCTCTACTAGCAGCGGTGGCTTTGTTTTTAAATCATATTCCGGATTTTATCTACTTTTTTCCATTACTTTTGCATTACGTATTCTAGCTTTTTCTAATAATTATGACCAAATCTAAAATTTTATGAATCTTTTGAATTTGAATAGTTATTTATATTGCATAATGTCGTTCTTTATATATACAGTATTTATTAAGCAAAACCATTTATTTATTTATTCAATGTTACTATTTATTAATATCGTTTTAAATTTAAATTAAAATATAATAAAATTATCTCATTATTACATATGTCAATTAAAAAATATTTGCAAAAAATAACGTCTAACAAAAAATCCGTAGTGTATCATTATCATAATTTTATTAGAGTCCTGAAATTTAATAATATGGAAGCCTTGCTACCTAGTTTCTAATAATAATTAGACATAGCAGGAATTGTATTGCCAATTATTGATAGTGTTTCCAAAAAGGTGTGAACAGACGTAGATCCCTATATCATGGAAAATTTACGAAAGTTTCTAGATTTCTAAAATTTTCAAAGCCCTCTATTACGGTGTGACCTCTACAGATCATCGTGTAATGTAAATTCGCGGATTTTCAACATGGAATCGGAGTTGAAATAAATTTGAAAAAAGCTTTTGAATCGTATCTGAAATCGGCTAAAATGGGTTATGCTGATAGAATGAAACTCGCCGGTTATCGTTATTGAAACGGAATCGGAACAAAAAAGACCTAAAGGAATCTGAATATTGGTATAGAATGTAAGCATTTTTCTTAATTCTTATAATAAAAAATTAAATAATATTAATAATTTAAAGATTGGGAAAGAAACAAGTTTCAAGGTAATAATCTTGTATATATTCTTTTCATTCCTGTTTATATTTAATAGGTTTAACTTAATTTTAAACAGAAATAGAGAAATTCTCTTATGCTGGTACAGAGGATAATGTTAAGAAAATATTTAATGATGAGAAGTATCAATTATTATGGATCCTATACGATAAATTCGTGCTAATTGCAGAATTTATTATAATGATTTCAACCTTAATTATTCATCCGCATTTAAAATGATTCATGATCAGAGTTTCTTTGATGAGGTAAATTTATCAAGTTTTGGTTAATGTTTAGATTATATAATTAATAGTTTCTTTTTTTAAAGTTGTAAGTGTTTTGTGAGATTGGATGTAAAAATCTATTGTATTTAAGAAACTAAGGGCTATCGAGAGATGATTCAGGAAATTACATTCTTATTTTGCAATATGCAAAAAAGGTTCTTTACGCAATAATCTTCGCGAAATATCACAGATGAAATGAAATTTATTAAGTTGGATAGCTTTTGATCTTGAAGCTATTCATTCACAAGGATATATTCATAAAGATTTGCATAGTGGTAACATCTTACAAGACGATTTAGATAATACAGATATCACGGATTTAGGTCTTACATAGCCTGCTAAAAATGAAAATAAAATTATTGAAATTTTACCTTATATTGCACCAGAGATTTTATCAGGCCAACCATCTACAAGCAAGAGATATCTATTCATTTAGTATAATTATGTGGGAAATCTTAACGGGTGAAGAAGTTTTCAATGGTTACAAATTTAATACTAAGCTAGCAATAAAGGTTTGTTTTGGGCTACGACCGGAATTCTCAGAATGCTACGTTGAATTAGCTTGGACTCTGATCCAAAAAAAGATCTGCTATATATGTTAATGCGTTAATTACTACTTGGGTCGAAGAACTTGTGCATAAAAGCAACAAAGGAATAATTAAAAAGCAATTCTTAGAAGCTGATAAGATGGATAAAAATTGGCAAGTAACATACAAAAGCATCTATGGGTCCGTATTATTTCGTTTAACTGACATCACACCAAGCGACAATTTACTAAAAATATATACCAGTAAATAATAAAATGCTAATCCTAACCCTATGTGATGTCGGTCAAATGAGCTGTCGGTGAAATGATTGTCGGCGAAGTAAACGGCACCACTCTGGCATATTAAAACTTCTTAATTAAAAAAAAATGCATGTTTATAGTTCAGAAAATATTTAAAAATTAAATAGGTTATTTTAAAAGGTTGTATAATTTAATTTTTTATTTATTCCCTTTTATTTATTTGATAAATGTTTAAAAACATGTAAAAGCTGTTCATGACATCATATCGATACGTGATTTTGAAAAAATCGACCGATCAAGTCAAATAAACGGTTCTGTGATGATTTAGCATCACCGATTATGTATCTGATGATTAAGTTGGTATATATATGTACAAATATTGCTGAATAAACTTTATTTAAAAAGCTCAACTAATAATACATCTAAAAGCACAATTAACCAAACAAAACATTCGTGAATCCAAAAAGATAATTACACAACCAAACGCCAACCACAATTCCTAAAAATTCAAGATTTAAAGTTTCGCCAATCATCATCACACCACTATCACTAACCGAAGAAGGTTTAGCCGTGGAGTTAGAGGGATGTGCTGTAGAATGATAAACAGTCGTAACACGCATGGTCATTGTAGATATGATGTTTCCTTGATGTTCAATGTTTGAAGGTTGTAATGATGATGATGATGTTAGAGTTGGAGTTGGACTAGCAGATGAATCTTTGTCTTTTAACATGGTACCAAATGGAAGAGTGGGCCTATTGCTGGTATGAGATTTACCAAAATCTTTTGGAAGTTCAGCAGTTGTGATTTGAAGTGTGATGCTGATGATAACGAGAAGTGTTATGAGGATAAAAGTAGATCTGGGATGGATAGACATTGTTTCTTTTTTAAGTGTTGAAACTTGTTTTTATCAAATCTGATAATATTGTTTATTCAATTTCTTTTTTGGATGAGTTGAAAATCGTTAGTGAAGAATGGGTTTTTTTATCTCTAAAAAAAAAAAAAATAATTGATTTTTTTTTACCCGATCATTTAATCAGAACATTGATTAAATCAATCAATTCAATAATATATATGTTCAAAAAAATCAAAGTGATGTATCATTGTCGTTATTATGTATTAATTCTCAATTTGTTTAAGATAGATTGATTACAGAATTGGCATTTAGAAATATTAATTTTGTTAATCTAAATTTTCGATGATGTTGAATTTATCTTATTTATCAAAATAATAAATTGTTTCGAATTAATCTTTATGTTATAGTGAGTATAGGATAAACACAACAAATACTTTTATGATATTTGAAAAAATATACAAACATTAAATATATTAGTGCGTCTTTTGAAATAAACATTCATTATTATATAATCCAGTAACAACGCATTAACTTTTTATAATAAACGTAGTAAAATTCATATTGTATCTTTTTGTATTTTTAAGCCTTAAAACTATGTATATACCTTTATATCTAGCGCAAACATATTTGTTATTGAAAAAAATTCATCGATTTTTCATTCAAACCTTTTTGTGTTATGAGTTTTTTGATCATTATACTGTATAGGCGATATGGGCGACAGTGTTAGGCTCATGTAAGAGCCTTGGAAATACCATCAAAGAACAAGATAGATGAATTATGAAATGGTTGCTGCTTTGTTCAGTTATTCAATTATGCAACATAAACATTTATGATATCGATTCTTCACTTTTTATAATATTTTGTTTAACTTTTGATTATCTTGTTGCATGGCCATTAGTCCTGTTTTTCTTAATTTGATAAGGGCATATATCAATACTATATTTGGAGACAAAGTCGTCACATATACGTATAATTGTTGTCCCTACAAATCGAAGAAAAAAAAATCATATGGTATATATTATTTATCATTGTCATATTATAGTATATCGCGTTCAACTACAAAGTCACTGTTTCACTGCTTCATTAGCTCATTCTCGACCTTGAATTTTGTAACAGATGTTTTGTGATATAGGAAGCGGATATAAATAATTTTCATTGGCTTACCTAAATGGTAATTGAACATCACCGTTAGGGGTGGGTCCGGTCGGTCACGGTCGGTTATCGGTCGGTTATTGGCGGTCATTGGCTCATAACCGACCGACCGCAGTTATTGACCGGTCATATAACCGGTCATATAACCGGTCAAATGACTGGTCCAATAACTGTTCAGTTGTTAGCTAGGTTTGCGACAAAACTTTTCTATCCATCCAAGTTTAATCAGATCTATGTGCATATTTAATCAGGATTAGTATAAGTATTGATATGCAGTATGATGAGCTACTACGTATAATGTCACCACAAAAAAAACCCCCCGGATATGTGATTTATGTGGCATCATCATCAATTGCGCTAAGCATAAAAAAAATAATAAACGATAAAAATTATAACAATTACTATATATATATTGTGTAGCTGATAATATATCAATCAAATATAAGCCACAAAGATGACGTTCGGTTTTTTTGATGGTTCCGCTGGGGAAGTCCAGTATGATGGTTATTACTGTGGCTATGTTATTGATAAATTATAAAGTGAAACTTAAGATAAAACAGAATACCATGATGCAAAATAAAGTTATTCATATGTGATCTTCAAGATTACTAGCTTATCCTTAAACATCTTTCGTTGCACTTCTAAATCACGAGAATCACGGTCATCGGGTATGAGTGTCATCATTAAATTTATTAATTAATGCGTATTATCTTAATTAAAATAAATTATTTTATTTATAAATATTAGATCATGTAAGCAAATGCTACATGTGTTTAACATCAAGAAAAAATAATTAAACTTATGATTTTCAAATCGCTTATTACTGCGTAATATAATAACAAACCTTGTAATGAATCAATGAACATCGCTAAAATAGTATCGGTCAGGATTTTAACCGGTTGGTCACAAACCTTTGACCGACCGATATCGGTTACGGTTATGACCGGTCATAACCGTAACCGACCCACCCCTAATCACCGTTATTATCGATACGAAAGGAAGAGAAACCCATCATGCGTGAAGAATTAATACAGTTTTGAATTGTATTTTTATATTTTATTTCACGAGATCAGATGATAACCGTTCTTATTAAAGTTAACTTAGAGATGTAGTACAGTATGTATTTAATGTCGTGATTTAACAACTATATGGAACTCTCTATAACTATGTTTTACGGTATATATTTCGTTATCTTCTTTTTAAGAACAAAAGTTTAACATTCGTATTTAACTTATCCAAACAGATTAATTATGCAATTATATATATGATCATATAACATTACATAGGTCAAAAACAATGGTTTTTGCCTACTTGTTACATACATATATACTTATGAGTACTTAACTGTTATAATCAATTTTGGCCAATACTTTTATAACCTTTTTAAAGGTAGTTCCCGTAAAAGTATTGCCAAATTTTTAAGCATTTATTCTCTAATTGAGGTAAATGTTTCAGACATTTTTTTAACGGGCTCCAACAAAATATCTGCTGTATATAAAAATAATTAAATCTTTTTTAACTTGAATTGAGTTTATTAAACTGGTCCGCTTTATACCAAAATGACCGTCTGAATAAGACACTTCTAACAAGCCTAAATCTCCAAAATTCAATCACAAGATTCCCAATATTGTTACAGATTTATATTACTTCGGTTTTTAGAAAGTGCCTGAAGTAATAAATCTATAATGATCTCGGGATCCTGTGATCAAATTTTAGGATTTTAAGCTCGTTAGAATCGTCTTATTAAAACAGCCGTTTGGTTATTCACTAAAGATTATAAGGTTTTAATGGTAATTTCAAATATACGAAATATGGTACAGTATACAGTTTAGCCGATTAAATTTATTACATAAATCACGCGTTTAATTTGGACAACTGATTAAAAAATATGGACAATATAGACATGGTACATAATGTCCATGACTATTGGTCCATCTCCATATATTTTGCTAAGATAGAAACTTTCAATAGAACAATTCCAAATAGAGCATTATAATGCCAATACTGGTTATAACCAGTGTGTGAAGTTAAACATTCTCAACGTTCTCTGGAACATTAAAGATTTTATATAGATGCTCTTGTGAGAACATTAATTTAATTCCGAATTTTATACACGGTTATATAACCTATAATTATCATAGAAGTTCACTCTCTGAGCAGCGCATTTGGCAAAAATATACATAATACTGTGCGGCGTTTACTAATTTCATCCTCAAATTTCTATTGGTCATCGGTAAATCGCATTTTTGATTGAATGAAATAGATAATCCTTAATCACGTGATATGATTCTAGTCAATCAAAGTGTAACTTATTTATATACTTTAAAGTACTTTTTGAGAACATAACGTTTCACCGATAAAAAGACAAAATTTTTACATATATCGCTTTGTTTGAGTGCTAGAAAACCACAAAATAATCTAAAATTCAAGAGGTGTTAGCTTAGTAGTGACATTTTTTAAATAGGTAAAGAAAAAAGACTTGAAGGTAGTTTTAAAATAATTTTTTCAAACCAGAATGTCTCGCTACAGCACACTAATAAAATCTCCAAAGCTATTTGTAACTTTCGAGCACTTGTTAATATTTGCTATGCAAAAAAGATCCACTTCTGACGACCTTTCTTAGAAGGTAAAATATAAAAAAATATAAGGTAAATAGAAAATTTTCTCTTAAGAACTTTATTATGTTATATTAAATAAACTTTGTTTAATTTGAATAGGTACGTACAAGTTATTATCAATAAAATATCCAGGTATATCCAGGTTTAATGTTTAAGTTTGGTCCGTTCTTCTAGTATGTTTGAGATTGCTAACTGTAAAATTTTTTGGGTATTGTATTTCTTCAATGATTTTGGGATTATTAATAATAAATCTTACGTTCGTCTCACTATACTTATACCTATCTATTCTTAAATGTATGTGATAAATTTTTTTGCGTGTATTTATTAGTTCGTAACTTTTTTATGAATTCTTTATGTCTTTTTTTTCGTTTTCTGTAGTAATATTAAACGATAAAGTTTTTTAAAAAATTATATAATTTGATTGGTCAATAATCACGGGAAATCACCAATCAGACAAACTTCTGTACATTTGGTGCAAAAAAGTTATTACTGCTCCAAAATGTATAATACAAAAACCTGATTAACACTATATTTCAAATGAAATGTCTCAGTAGGCTCAGACAAATGGTTAGTCGAAAATCTAATGGGTTTTATGCATATACATTAAATCCTTCGTACAGAATAGTGCAACTAGTAAATCGAAATGATAACAATAATTTATCAGACTAATCAAAATTAAATAAGGTTCAAGTTGAATTTGTTCGTCATGGGATCTTTGCTGTACGACTATGAAGATCTCTTACTATACTGGGACTAATAGCACCTATAATGCCGATAATGATTATAATGCTTATATTGCATATAAGCATTATAATCGTTATAATCGCGATAATGGATAT